CAGGCGCTGTGCCGCTGAGCTAAATCCCCAGCCCTTCCCCCACTGTGTTTTTTTGCTCCAGTGAAAATCCGAAGGCCCTTTCTGTGCCTCCCCTGGCTGGCCCTGAGAAGTGGCCTTATTTTCCTAACTTCGTTTTAAAACTTCCAAATATTTCCAAAGTAAAGGTGAGTTTTTGCTTCATCGTCATGTTGCTTTATGTTTCTTTGTGTGGTACAGGGGACTGAGCTGATGGCCTTGGTGCTGAGCTGCATCCTTCCCTCTTGTTATTATTTTGAGACAGGGTCTCATAAATTGCTCAGGCTGGGCTTGATCTTGTGTTTCTCCTGCCTCAGCCTCCCAGAGCGCTGGGATGAGGACGCTGCCCGCTGGCCAGGCCGCATCTCTGATGTGGCCACAGAGCTACCTCCCAGAGGCCGGGCTCGGCATCCTGATATCCGATCCGTCTTCATCTCCCGGGCCTTTGGGGTGGCGGAAGCCTCCGAGCCCAGCCGCAGATTAGCGCCAGCGTCTGGATCGATGCCGCCGCACCGCGCTGCGGTCTCCGCGGCCCAGGCTGGAGCTGGCTGCGGGCTCTCAAAAGCTCCCCGGGGTCTCCCGGCCCCAGCTGCGGAGATCCATCCATCTCTGCCTAAGGCGACAGTTCCCAGGGCTGAGAAGTCCGGCCCGGCGTGTGTGGGGGTGGGGACCGCCCAGGAATTGCCTGTGTTGTCTTGTTTTTTCACAGCGCCCACAGAGGGGGTAGGAAGCTTGGGGCAGGGGAATGGGCTTTGTGGGAGACAACCTTCCAGGCCAGGCACGCCGGCCGGGGCAAAGGCGTGGGGGTGTGGGTGCTTTGATCCTCTTTGAGTCCAGTGTGCAGAGGTGAGGGTCACAATATGTGGGTATGATTAGAACAACAAACCAGACTTCCACGGGAAATCCTAGCACTCTGGGAGGCCGAGGCAGGAAGATAAAAAATTTTTTTTTCCAGTACCGGGAATCGAACTCACGACCTCGCGCTTGCCAGACAGGCGCTGTGCCGCTGAGCTAAATCCCCAGCCTCCTCAAAATTAAAAAAAAAAAAAAAACAACGGCTGGGGCTGTAGCTCAGTGTGAGGGCCCTGGGTTCCATCCTCAGTACTGCAGAGTAAAACACAACAAAAACAAACAGGCGGGCTGGTGGTTCACCCTGTAATCCCAGCACTTAGGAGGCCGAGGCAAGAGGGTCCAGTCCCGCCTGGGCCACACAGTGAGTTCACGGCCAGCCAGGAAAACATAGCGAGACCCTGTCTCCAAAAAACCCAAACCAATCAACGAACCCAAACACCACTGTCCAGAGCCTCCACCGCCAGGCCAAGAAGGGCTGGGACTCCCGGCTTGGGACCCAGGGGGCCTTGTCCGGGTGCCAGCGCGGCCTGCGGTGGAGAAAGCCCCCGAGGCCCGCGGGAGGGGCGCCAGGCCGGGACGCGCAGCGCCAGACGTCTGGGCCCGGGTCTCACGGCTGAGCGCGACCCTGGTGCGGGCGACATCGAGGGGGAAGCGGTGCGACACCGCCCCCGTGTGGCGACTCCTGTCTTCCCAGCCAATGAATTTGGCTTCATCCAATTTGGACTTTTTGAGAATTAAACAGGGCGCTGTTATCGAATTACTGGCTGGAAGTGTTTGTAATCGAAAAAAATTACATTCCTCCGGGAGGAAATCCTGCTTTTACAGTGAGTCTGCTCCTGATCTGAATTCTCAGGCCCCTTTTCCTGGAAACTCACGGTCCCTCTATTCAGACCACCATAGCTGATACTGAATTGAAATTGTTTCCTATTCGATGAGAAGGTAAAGTACCCCCAATCAAAGCCTGCGGTGTCTCCCAGGATATTCACCTGGGTGTGCTGGCATGGAGACAGGGAGTGGAAGGGGACAGCGACCAGGGGCTGCAGACATATACCTATCTGCGGTTCTGGACACTTGTCTAAGAAGGGCATTGACAGTAGGTTTTGAAGGTTGAATAGGAGTTTGCTAAGAGGAGAAAGAGGAAGATGAGCTGCTATAACAGGATAGTGATGGACAAGAGATGATAATGACCGATGTGGACGCTTACAGTCCATTCACAATTTTGATGTTATTCCATCCTTGCTGTGGCCTTTTGGAGCCAATGAAAAGAGAGTCAGTCACTTTTGTCCGAGAGAGAAGAAAACTAGGGGTTGGGGAGAAGCGATGAATGTGAAGGAAAACGAGCTGCCTCAGTGCCGGGTGGTACCTTCGCTCTGCTGACTCCCCTTTCTATTCTTGCGGTCAGGGTAGGGATGTTCCTCACGGCCTGAACGCCTCTGGGACTCCAGCAGCCCGCAGACTCAGGGATGGCGGGCTCTGCTTCCAACCTGAGGCGCTGAGCCTGCGGCCTCCTCCCCCAGACCCGCAGCCTCCTCCCTCAGCGGGCTGCAGGCCCGGGCGACCCTGTTCTAGAGAGGCCAGGGGGCGGTGTGTGCTGGTACCACTCCGTTTATTTGTTCTCAGAGGCCATTGTGGCAGTGCTGGCGGGCAGCGGCCAGCCCTGGGCGGGTGAGCCGGCGGGTGTCACTGCTGAGCCTGGGGGAGCACAGGAGGCCGAATCAGGGCTGCGGGACTGGGCTGGCACTGGGGGGCGGGGAGACACACGCGGCCCCCTCCGCGCCCGTCTTGCCCTCACCTTGTTGAAGAAGTAGATGGAGGCGAAGATGGTGAAGACGGTGATGGCCAGGGTCACATTCTGGGGAGGGAGGTCAAAGGTCAGGCCCTTCCCCTCCCGCCGCCCGCCCCTGCCCTCCACCCGTCTCACGTCCTGGAAGTTCATGGCCATGGGTCCTCAGCGCCGCGCTCCCAGGACCTCTCGCCCTTCCTCTGGCCTCTGAGCCAGGAGAGGGAAGCCACTGGCACTGAGGGGGTTGTCCAGGAGACCAGAATGGTGGCCATGGCAACTGGGGCACGGCATTCTGGGTAGAGGGGCCATCGCTCCAGGGGCTGGGCGGGTGGGGATGCAGGTGCGGGATGCTAGTGGGGTGTCTGAATGCGTGGTTCCAGAGTCCAGACCGCAAACAGCTCGCTGGGGCCCTGGGGGCACAGGGGTCAGCTGTGGGCATCGGAAGCGTCCGGAAGCAGCCGGCATGGTGGACTTTCTACGAGCCCAGTGGACAGGTGGTGCTGGCACGGTGTTGGGTTCCAGCGGTGCAGGGTGTTTGCGGGGAGTGGAGGTCGGGGAATAGCAAGAGGGTGTCAGACAAGAAGAGAGTAACGGAGAAGGGGAGGTGGGAGGTCTCCCTGAGCCGGGCAGGTTAGGGAGGGGCGGGGCTGGTCTGAGCTCGCTGTGTACGCGTATGTAAGATACGTGCCTCCCGTGAGCCCGGCACCCGGGGTCACAGGACAGCAGCAAGAGCAGGGGCAGCTCGGAAGGTTCCGATGGTGCGGGCCTGGTGGGCCATGGAGCTGTGACCCCGGCACTCAGGAGCAGAGACGGAGGGTCGGTGTGAGTTCGAGGCCAGCCTGGGCTACTTAGGGAGACCCTGCCTCCCAAACAAGCAAAAACAAAAACAAAAAATGAAACTAACACAGGGGCACTGAGATCGGAGACCACAGCCCTGTGACGGCTGAGGGAAGGAGCAGCGGCCGCAGAAACACTCTGGGGCTGCAGGCGCCAGGAGGCAGATTCTCCTGCAGCCAAGGCGGGAGTGTGGCTAAGGACTCCTTCGTTCCCACCTCGTTCCCGCCCAGCGACGCGGGTTTAGACCTCAGCCCTCGGGAGCCGCATGCGAGTGGGAGTGTTTGAGGCCTGGGGTGCAGGTAACTCACAGCAGCTGTAGGAAGCGGGCATGTACACAGGTTGCACGGCGCTGCAGCTTCTCTGGGGTCCACAGAATCTGGTGTCTACTTCACCTTCCTCGGTGACCTCTTCTAATCCTTAGTCACCTCACGTTCCTCTTTGGAATTACAATTTCTTTTTTCATTTTTTGGAGACAGAGTCTTGATATGTAGCCCAGGCTGGTCTTGAACTCCAGACAGTCCTCCTGCCTCAGCCTCCCAAGTGCTGGGATTACAGGTGTGCGCCACCACGCCCAGTAGGACTTTCCTCTAATGTGGCGCTGGGGAGGGCCCTTCCGGCCCTGAAGATGCCCAAAGGCCTGCATCCTTGTCAGGGACCCTGAGCCCCAAACACTGCTAAGCCCGCCCCACCCGGGCTTCTGACCCACACCACCTGTTTAGGCCGCCAAGTTTTCGCACTATTTGTCACACGGCAATCAGTAGCACCCGTCTTAGTAGTTATTCTCCACACACAGACCTCGTTCTGTCACTGCTGACGTATTTGAACTCACCTACCCCACTTCAGAAAACTGAGGCAGAGGGAGGTGCGGTAACTTGCCCAGAGTCACACAGCTTGTAAATGGTGACCGTGACACTGGGCTTTGAACCACCAGGTCCTGCTGGTTTTGAGCAGTTGTGGGTAAAATCTCCAAGGAGCCCCACTGTTTCAGCGACAGGAAGCAAGGTCAGATTCAGGGTAGGAGGGGACTGAGGGGGTGTAGCCCGTGGGGCTGGGCCAGCGCTTCTCCCTGAGTCTGGGTCCAGGTTAAAGGCGCCCGGGCTCAAGTCTGAGCACTGCCACTCACTGGGTGTTTCCCGAGCAGGCCTCGTGGACCTCGTGCTTCAGTCTCCCCATCAGCACAGTGAGGATGGGAGGAACGGGCGGAGGCCTCTCGCGGTGGCAGGGAAGGCTAAAAGGGTTAACGGTGGGCAGAGTGCGTGGGGGCGTGCCAGGGCCTGTGCCCCAGCCCCAGCGAGGGCCGGGCCGGGCTAATGAGCAGGTGAGGCCCAGGGCAGACGGCTGAGCTCAGCGTCTAGGCCCTGTGACGATGGCTGGGCCGGGGTGCGAGGGCCACACTGCCGGACCGCTCCTGCTCCTGCTGCTCCTGCTGCTGCCGCCCCGGGCCCTGCCGGACGGACCCCTGGTGTTCGTGGCGCTGGTGAGCGGCCCCTGCCCCCGCCTGGCCCAGTTCCCCGGTTCTGGCCGCCAGCGCTGACCCGGTGCGTCCCCAGGTGTTCCGCCATGGCGACCGGGCCCCGCTGGCCTCCTACCCCACCGACCCGCACAAGGACGCCGTCTCCACCCTGTGGCCCCGAGGCCTGGGCCAGCTGACCGAGGTGAGGAGCGGGGCGAGGGGCCGGGCGGGGCGGGGCGGGATGGTGCCTGAGCCGCTCTGTCCCCAGGAGGGAGTCCAACAGCAGCTGGAGCTGGGCCGCTTCCTGCGGAGGCGCTACAAGGCCTTCCTGCGCCCCGAGTACCGGCGGGACGAGGTACCACCCCGCTCTCTCCCCGACCGCATGCCCATCCAGCCCTCGTCCCTCTGGGCATCCACTTCTGACCTCTGCCCTCCACCAACCTGACCTGCACCCCTCTAGTCACCCAGGATCCCACACTGTCCTTTGGCCTCTGCTCAGCCAGGGTCCTGTCCTGACCTCTGACCTCTTCTGGCTTCCACCTTTGTCTTGACTCCCACCTGCCTGACATTCTGAGCCCTGACCTCTGAGCCCTGACCGTGACCCAGTCGTTGAGCCTCCGTCCGCTTGGGGAGCATCAGTGCTGACTCTCCTGTCCCTTCTCTGCCTTGGCCATTCTAGTTAGGGTCAGCTCTCCCGACCTCTGACCTCTGACCCCTGCCACTTTCCCTCAGCCCTGGTCTGTGCTGTGACCTCTCACCTCCTTCCCCGCCAACTCTGACCTCCCTTTCTAACCCTCGTGGAGGCAACAGATGCCCTTAGTCCAACTGCTGATCTCCAAAATGACCTTTCTTGACCTTGACCTCTGACCTCAGTCTCAGCCTTCCACTTTGCAGAGCAGAAGTTGAACCTGCCCTGAGTTTTGACTCCCCATTCCTGACCTATGACCTCACTCCATGTCCTCTAACCCACCCCAGACTGCACCTGAAGCGTCTGACCTGCCAGTCCCGCCCACCGGCGCCCCTCTGTCCCGTGTCCTCCCGGCTGCAGGTGTACATCCGCAGCACGGACTTCGACCGCACGCTGGAGAGCGCTCAGGCCATCCTGGCTGGGCTCTTCCCCGAGGCGTCCCCGAGGGGCTCGGAGGCTGACTGGAGGCCGATCCCGGTGCACACGGTGCCCGTGGCTGAGGATAAGGTCAGGGGCTGGGCGGGGTGGGAGGGACAGGACAGGCAGAGAAGGGACATGCGGAGGGGCAGGGGCGGCACCGGGCCTGGGGTACACCCTCGGGGAGCCCAGGATGGCAGGGCCGGTGCGACTGTCCCAGGGCCGGTGTGCCTGGATGGGCGGGCCTGGACCCAGGAGACTGGGAGAAGCAGGGGCCCCAGAACCCCGACTCTCCGCCAGCCGTGAGGCCCAGCATGCTGCTGTCCCCTCTGAGCCTCTGTTTCCCCCAGCTGCTGAGGTTCCCCATGCGCAGCTGTCCGCGGTACCAGGAGCTGCTGCGGGAGTCCACGGAGGCGGCGGAGTACCAGGAGGCCATGGAGGGTTGGACGGTGAGCAGGCTGTGGGCTGGGGGTGGGTGACTTCCCGGCTCAGGGCTCAGCCTGCCCGTGCCCCCAGGAATTCCTGAGTCGCCTGAGCAACTTCACGGGGCTGACGCTGGTGGGGGAGCCGCTCCGCAAGGCCTGGAAGGTTCTGGACACGCTGATCTGCCAGGTGAGCCCCGCACCCCAGCAAGGGGTTCGTGTCTTCACTCTGCCACTTGCAAGTGATTTAGCGCCCCCCCTCCCCGTGCCTCGGTTTCTCCACCCATAATGGTGATGGCAACGCCCGCCGGTGTGGTGAATTTGAAATGGTAATCCCCGCAGGGGCTCCCGAGGGCCTCCTCTGCCCGCCTCGACCCAGAGCAGCTCTGGAACCAGAACTTGGGCAGCAGAAAGGCGACACTTTTGTCTTTGCTGGGAGGGAGCAGCTCTTCTTACGGCTCTTCTGAAATCCAGAATGTCTGAGATTCAAAACATCGCTGGTTCCAGACAGGGTCTTCTGGAGGTGTAGCGAGGTCCTTGCTATTGCTGATTAATCATTACTATTCCGGGCACTGTGACTTCTAATCAGAACCAGCCGAAGGGGCTCAGGGGAGGGTGCAGAGACATCTGGAGGGCAGCCGGGGACATCGTCTCTGTCTCCCCAGCGAGCACATGGTCTTGCCCTCCCGCCCTGGGCCTCCCCGGACGTCTTGAGGACTCTCAGCCAGATCTCTGCGCTGGACATCAGGGCCCACGTGGGCCCGCCCCGGGCGGCGGAGAAGGCCCAGCTGACCGGGGGTGAGGCATGGCTCTGGGATGGGAGGCCGAGGCGCCTTTCTGTGGGGCCCTGACCCTCTGCCCATCCTCTCAGGGATTCTGCTGGATGCCATCCTTGCCAACTTCTCCCGCGTCCAGAGCCTGGGGCTGCCCCTCAGGATGGTCCTGTACTCAGCTGTGAGTCCTCGGGAAGAAAGTGGTCCATGGCACAGGGGTGGGTGGTGGCAGTTCGGGTGCTGAGTGCCTACGGAAGCTCAGCCCACGGCCTTGGGTAAAGCCTATCTCCAAGCCTCCTCGGATCCTCTCGCTGAGGTCAGCCCTCGGAGCGGGGAGGTAACCGCAAGGAAAGCAGCAGTTCCTCTGGAGGGGCAGGCTGCTGTTGCACACGTGTGACCCATTTGCTCAGTGGTCCTGGGGAACCGCGGGGCCGGCCTCCGGGAGAGGGAGAGGAGGGCGCCAGCGTTGGCCCTCAGGTGTCGGGACAGGAGCCGTCTCAGCCCCGTGTCCACTCCTAGCACGACAGCACCATTCTGGCCTTGTACGGGGCCCTGGGCCTCTACGACGGGCACACCCCACCATACGCTGCCTGTCTGGGCTTCGAGTTCCGGAGCTACTTCGGGGACCCAGAGGACGAAGACGGAGGGTGAGGAGGGGCAGCGCTGGGGACTGGGCGGACTGCACTCCCGTTGGCACGCAGAGGGGGCAGCAGAGCTATGGCTGGCTGGTGGCAGGGGTGGCACCGTCTCCTCTCCTTCCAGGAACATCACCATCTCCCTCTTCTACCGCAACGACACCAACCGCCCGCCCCTGTCCCTCAGCGTCCCCGGGTGCCCGGCTCCCTGCCTGCTAGGGCGCTTCCGCCAGCTGACTGCTTCGGCCAGGCCTCCGGCCCGCGGGGCTGCCTGCCAGGGCTCCTATAGGCCTGCCACTGCCCCAGGTGACAGCCCTCTGCACTGGGGTGGGAGCAAGGGGTCCCCCGGACCTGGGAGCGATGCCGCCCAGGTTCTTCCTGCAGCCACCACAGTGCCCCTGCTGGCCGGAGCTGTGGCCGTGCTGGCGGTGCTGAGCCTGGGGCTGGGCCTGCTGGCCTGGAGACCCACCTGCCTGCGGGCTCTGGGGGGAGCAGTGTGAGCGGGAATGGGCGGCCCCTCCCCAGCAGACATGGACCCCAACACGTGTGCTCACCTCTCTTCTGGCTGGTCACTGTCTGTGTGCGAGTGGGAGGGCTGGGCGGGCTCCCCGGCCTGGAAGCCAAGGGCGGCTGTGTGCCTGTGGACGCTTCTCACTCGCCGCCTGCACTCGCACTCTCTCTGGTGCTGGTGTGCAAGTGCGTGCACACGTCTGTGTAAAGTACATTTCCGTACTGTGGAAGCCTGTGGCTCACGAGGGGCCACAAAGAGCCCCGTGTCCCTCCATGCAGTTCCTTTAGCAGAGCTCAGCCCACGATCAGCAGTAAGACCCAGGAAGGGGGCAGGTGGTCTGGCCTCTGGGGTGCCTGGCTCAGCAAGTGCTGCAGTCACGGAGGCGAGTGGGCACCTCCCTGGTCACTGGCTAGTGAAGCCAGCAGTGACCACACCTACCTAGATGTACACTCAGAGTTCAGGTTCCCACCATGGCACAGTCCTCTTGGACGATGCTGAGGGAGGAGAGCTACTGCAGTAGCTGGCAGTTACACAAGTCCCCCGCGGGGGCCACACCTGCTGCCACTTTAACCTCCACGGCAAGGGGGCGGCTCTCCCACCCCACGACCTCCAAGGCCGAGGGTGGCAGCCAGGCCCCAGGAGGCAGCTGGGCTTGGTGCCTGTAGTAGGCTCGGGGATTAGCCTGCTGGCCGACTGCCTACCACAGGCCCACCCTTCCTCATCAGACTGCTGGAGAGCCAGGCCCGAAGGGGGGTCAGCCCACGCACCCCGCCCTGGACCAGCGCCCCGCCTGCGCCCGGACCGCACCCAACTCCACAGCTCGAGAAGGGTGCTGCACCTGCCCTTTAATGGTGCCTGTGACGGCAGTGTCATCGGAACCCTGCTTGTGCGGATCCCCCTCAACCCACACCCCAGGCGCAGGCCTGTGGCTGCGGGGGCAGCTAAAGCAACTAGAGCCGCCAGGAGGGTCTGGCGGGCACCCCCACGCCAGCGCACCACAAAGCTCGCGCTGAGAGGGAGGGGAACTGCCCGCAAGAAAAAACCAGACAAAAAGCCAGACTGGAGGAGAGGCAAGCTGTTAAAGAGGTAGACATGACTGCTACAAAGTGTCGCATATGCCTAACATATTAAGTAAAAATAATGCATTAAAAAAACTTTTGAAGTGAAAAACTTAAGATGCCTTTGCCTTGTGGGCTAGGGGATCCCTGCCTTAGCCGGCAGGGCTTTGGGGCCCACCAGCCTCCCTGTAGGACCTGACCCACGGCAAGCGGCCACCTTCGTTCGTGGCTTCCTCTCTCACGGGCTCTTGGCAGTGCCGTACGTGGAACAGGCCGGGGATGAACACACACAAGGAAGGCGCCAAGGCCAGGCCTCCGCCCCTCCTAGCACAGCGCAGGCTCCCAGTCCACCTCCCCGAGCTCACTCCTTCCTGCACACGCTGTTGTCCTTGAAGGCGAGCTGTGTCCTACAGACGGTTCCTCTCCTGTCCAGGTGTCTGGCACACTGCTCCGTGAGGCCCGACAGGCTGCTTGTCCACCCTCTCCTGGGCACGCTGTGGGACAGCAGCCCGTCCACGATGTCCGTGTGTGGGGTCGGGCCCCAGCATGAGCTTGGTGCGGCCCAGCTGCCTCACTGCAGATCCAGCTGAGCATGCCCAGCCAGCAGGATGCTGTCCTCTATGGTGGCCCAGGGCCAGAAGGGCAGGTCGGTATCATGGATACATAGGGTGTATGTGCAGAAGGGACTTCCAGTGCTGGTGGCAGGCCTTCAGGAGTTCAGGGACAGGGCCTGGCACCCGGACTGTACACCTGCAGGATCCAGATGTCCGTGAGCTCAGTGTATGTGCAGCGCCGCTCTCCCTGGCCGGCCTGGGTGGGCATCAGTGCTTGCTCGGCCACGGTCACACCTGTCCCTGTGAGGATGACAGAGGCAGCACTGTGAGGTGGAAAAGTCGAGTCCCTGCCCCAGCATCTCCCTGGAGTGGACCCTTAGGTACCCCGGGGGTCAAGGTCCCAGGGGTCACTATGTGCTCAGTCAGCCCGGTGCACACCAGAGGTCCCCAAGTACAGCCCTGACAGACGGCATCTCAGTCAGTGCCCCGCCCACTCTGGCATCATCACCACCCTCACAGGGGCTCCTGCTCTTACCTGGAGAGACGGGACCTGGCGACTCCAAGAGAACAGCTGTGGGTAGAGCAGAGGGTGGGGGAAGAGGTCAGTGGGGTACAGGACACATCACCCTGTCTGACCCCTCCCTGGAGCCAGGGCCCCTCAGGCCCCCAGGTGTCAAAGGTCCTGGGGGGCACCATGTCCTCAGATGGTCAGAGCCCAGTGCTGAGCATCATGGGGGCCCTGCTGCTCACCCAGCCCCTAGGTTCCAGGGCCAACTGCAGCCCTCAAGGGTACAGCACAAGAAGTGCCTAGAGAACCAGGCAAGACAGTGCCCAACACACAGCCTCTGGGTGTCACAGGGCCAGCTCCTGCAGCCCGCGCTCCCTGTCCAGTTCTGCCCGGATGTCGGCTGTAGGGCCTGTGGCCAGTGGACCTGACAGTGGCTGGTGGCCAAGGCTGGTCCCAACTCCCTTCCGCTCAGACCTAGTACTTGGACCTCCCGGCTCCTAACAAAATCACCACAGACAGCTGCCCACATCTTAGGTCTGCTTTTCCCCACCCAGCTGTCCCCAGTGGCCTGGGCACCTGACTGTCACAACCCTGCTAGCACTCCGTGAGTTTGTTCTCACCAAGTGCTCACTACTCGTTGGCAACCACCAACACCTGAATCTGTGTCAAAATGTGCCACTCACAGGTGGCTATTAAATAAAATGAAAACCCACAACTCATACCTCACCCACCTGCACCCTTCCCAGGAACTCCCTAGCCCCACACCGGCAGCGCTCTGCAGAGGATGCCCTGGGTAACCAGAACAAGTCCCGCAGATTCAAGAGATGAAACACCACTTCCTCGAGGCCACTGTCTTCCTGCTCTCAACACTCAAGCAACAGAGGAAAATCCTAGCGCTGAGCATGTCCCTCTCTTCTGCTCACACACATTCCTGTTTCCTAGCCTAGCTCTTCGAAACACTAGCAAAAACCCTAGTACTTTCACAATGGTCATTGCGGACATTTAGGGCTCCTTTAATAACAGTTTATGTTCAAATGATTCACTGGGATCCAACCACGTACTCAGCTCACAGAAGCCACCAAGCAAGACAGCGCTGAAAGAAACCCATTCTGCTGCCGCCCCCACGCTGCTGTAATGAGTCTGAAAATGGGCTTTGCTGACACCTTTCCCTAAGACCCAAATATCTGTTCCTTCTCCATCCCACGTCTTATTCAGTCTTTCCCCTTGGAGGGCAGGAAATGTCACTGTCTCCACCCAACCGTGTGAAGGATTTGGGCACACGCTCCTGATGTGCTGCTTCAGTCAGTGGGACTTAGGAGGAGGTCACCTCCCAACATCTCCAAGCCTACAGAAGCAGGGCTGGCATCTGGATCCAGGTCTAGCTAGCTAATTGGGTTTCCACGGCCTTGGGATAGTTTTTACATGGAAATCCTAAGCGCAGTTGTTGGCACATAAACTCAGGAACCAGAGACCTCTGATATTAAGTCACCCAAGATGAGGGTAAACTGTTGGTAAATGTGGATGGACCAGGAGTGGAAGTAAGGGTTCTTACCGTGACGGGGTGCTGACAGTGGCCCCTCAGCATTTACAAACACCTGTAACACAGAAGGAATTGGTGAGAGTGTGTAGGTGTAGTCCATGGGGCCAGGAGAACACCAATACTGGGGCCCCTCAGACCCCCAGGTGTCAAAGGTCCTGGGGTGCACTGTATCCTCACAGATGATCAGAGCCCAGTGCTGGACATCATGGGGGCCCCAGCCCCTCTGAAACCAGATCCACTTACCTTCAGGAACAGATGCCAAATCAACACAGCACACAGACAAACCCACCAAAGACCCCAACACCCCCAGATCAGAGGGGCGACCCCCATGGGCTGGGGCTTCACACACACTAGGGGAAGGGAACCCTGGTGTTTCCCTGTTCTTGCTATCCCCGCCAGGAGCCTGTAACAGTGACGGCTGCTGAGAGACCACTCCCTCCAAAGAACCCAGCAGGAGAAATGGGAAATGCGGCTGTTCGAGGAAAAAACAAGGCTAAGACTTAAGAGGATATAAACACCGCAGACGTTTGTCTCAGCCAGGTATTAAATCTACTGTGAGACATCAGACGACTTAGGAACAACGTACAAAGAAGGTAGTAGACGGCAGGGTAAAGAAATCATTTTCGGGGCTGGGGATTTAGTTCAGCGGCACACCGCCTGCCTGGCAAGCGCAAGGTCGTGAGTTCGACTCCTGTTACGGGGGAGGGGCGGGGACAAAAGAAAAAACAAATTATTCCTATTAAAAGTGACAATGGAGCCGGGCGTGGTGACGCACGCGTGTAATCTCAGCACTCGGGAGTCTGAGGCAGGAGAATCGTTGCGAGTTCGAGACCAGCCTGGGCTACAAAGTGAGCTCAAGGCCAGCCAGAACTGCACAGCGAGACAAAAAAGAAAAATGACAAAAAAGAAAAAAAACTGTCTCAAAAATACAAAAAAGAAAAAAAAAGAGCGACAAATGCTAGTATTAGAGTGCCAGGTCTATTTTAGAGGTAAAAGTGCTAGTATAGGGGATGAAACGCGGTTTCGAAACGAGGAAACGCAATCGGACCAGCCTCCGGCTGGAAGGAGATCAACGGGCTTCCTCCAGGCTGGGGCTCCCGGGCAGGAGAGTGACATTCTGAACGATGTAAGCCAAACGCCGTTAGTGAGACTGACGCTAACCGCAGTCACTGTCAGGGGTGATCCAAGGTCTCGTGTGCCTTCTCCTGAATCGGCTCCTACCTGCTCCCAGCAACAGTCCCGTGATGCACTTGGAGACGCGCTTCTTTAGCACCTTGACATTTCCCTTCCGGCCTGCAGGAAACGCCCGCACCAGGCTCGTTCCGTCCCCCACTGTCTCTGTCCCACCCTGCACAGGGCAGCCAGCTTCCCACAAACGGGGACAAGAGCGCGGGCGGTTTCCTACGATCTGAGACCTGGCAGCTCGGAAACCCTCAGCAAGAATTCCCAACCACGCCCTGCGACCTCACCCTCGCCCCCAAACGGGCAACATGGCGCAGGCCCGAGGCGGGGGCAGCAGACTGGGCGCGGACGGAGGAAGCGGGCACCCCGCGCTCCCTGAGCCGGGCGGGGGCACTCGCGCCCTCCCGCAGGGGAACGCCGAGCTCAACCTCCAGGAGCTGGAGCGCCCGCGTCCCCGCAACATGGCCGCCCGCGCCGAGGCCCCAGCTCTTCCCATATGCGCCTTAGGCCGCGAGGCCCGCTGCACACACTGCGAAACACACACTAACCAACCCCCACCCCGCAGAGCTCTCCGCGAAAGAAAAGCACGCGGCCGCGAGTCCTAATTTATACCACGCGCCGCTGGCAGGCTCGGCCCCAGGCCCCAGTCTGGTCTCCGCCTTTAGGTGTCCAATGTAACGCCTGTGAAAGGAACCCAGTTTTGGTATCGGAGAAGGGAATAATGCCGGTTGCCACCTGCATGTTCCTCAATAAGCGAGAATATAGTATCTCAGGAGGTGGAGAGAGAGGAATAAGGACATATTTCGGGCGACTGTCTTGTCCCGTACATCAGGCAATTTTGAGGTCAGCATAAACAACGAGCTGGGAAGAGACAGGGCCCAGAGGGGGCGGAGCCAGGGCCGGAAACCACCGGAATGGGCGGGGCGGCGAGGCGGGAGCCGGGTCTCAGAGACTGGGCAACGTTGCACGGCTAGAACTGCGCTGACTCCAATCCTTGGGCTGCAGGCCGGGCCGGAAGCCAGTGTTCCGGGCCTAAGAGGGTGCTGGGGTCCGGGCCGCCAGATGGAGAGGGCGGAGGGGCGCTCGGGCCCTCGAATCTCAGGGAGGAGGGTGGGCCTGGACCCCGGGGCTGAAGCAAGAGGGTCGGGCATGGACCGCAAGTCGGAGATAGACTGAGTTCGTGGCTCACCCGGTTTTATGCCCTGAGGCCTGGAGCCCTGGAATCTTAGTGTGGTGTGAGATCTTAGAGGCATCAACTGTTAAAGAATAAAAAGGGAAAAGCTTCTATTCCCAATCCATTCACCAGAGGTCGCCGCTCTTTATATTCTTTTTGTTGTTGTTGTTTCTTCTCTTTTCTTTCTGTCTTTGGGACAGGGTTCCACTCTGCAGTTCAGGCTGACCTCGAACTCACAGCGATCCTCCTGCCTCAGCCTCTCTAGTGCTGGGATTACAGTATTGCGCCACCACGCCCGGCAATTGTGTCATTCTTTAAGCAATTCTTATCTGTCCCTTGTGCCTCTGTTCCCCTCTGCCTTCATCTCTGCCTCTCCCTGGACCTCCCTTGTATTCCTGGCATCTTCAGGACCTTTGCACCCCGTGTCCTGCCTGGAGCTCTCCCCTGATCCGTGTGGCTCTCTCCTTTACAGTCCTGTCTCTGTTCAGACGTCATTTTAGCCTGTACTTGCCCCCCTCACCTCCACTCCAGGCAAACTTCCTCCTTTCCAGCCCTGTCTCCTTTGCTCTCTTTACTTTTCCTCAAAGCATTTGTCCCACAATATAGTATCTCCCTACTTGCTCATGGCAGGTTTTTTTTTTTTTTGCCTCTCTTGAAACGTCAGTTCCACAAGGATAAGGATCTGCATCTAGTTTGATCCCTCCTCTTAACCTAGTGTTTGGCATAGTTGCAGCTTCATCTGTTGTAAAACAAACTCAGAGGTGTTTTATAGGAGGCAAGAAGAGGGTTATTGTGATAACGCTGAAGAGTACATACTATGGCCCAGGCATTTATGTTAAACTTTGCAATAAAGTATGATCATTACCCCCACTTTACAGATAAGCAAACTGAGACCAGATGGGGTCAACACCTTGCCAAAGACCTCAGAGCTAGCATATGGCAGATTAACCATGGTGTGAGAGGGAAATGGGGACTTGAGGTAGGATTAAAAAAACAAAACTAAATAAAAAGACAAAAAAATTTAATTATACTTTTAAAAGCTCCTACAGCTTCAAAACAAATTACTCAAAGTTCCTTTCTAGAAACTCACCAAAAAAATTCCTAAAAGTCCTTTTACAATTAGCTTGTAAAAGGACATCTTTTTTTTGTAGCCCAGGCTGGCCTCGAACTCCCAATGATCCTCCTGCCCCAGCCTCCTGAGTGCTGGGATTACAGGTGTGTACCACCATGCCTGACTTCACCTCCTGCTCAATGTGTCTCATTTTTCTAATCACCTGCATTCCTCTCTTGAGTGTGTCCTACTAAAGCCTTCTTCTGCCTCTTTTACTGATGTGTCCTAAAAATTCTTGCTTTGCAATGGGAGCCAGCAAACCTGCAAACTTATTTTAAAAAGGTGAGAGAGATTCCTTATTTCAGCCTTGGGAACCTTTTAGATCCAGCCGGGTAACAGACCTACAAACCAAGGTCCTGTACGGATACCTGGAAGTGACATAATTGCCTAGTACGGTTTTGACTCTGGGCTGTTCAATAGATGATTCACTGTTAGCCCCAAAGCATCTTCAAAAGGCTGCTACACAGAACAGCCTCCCGTGGAGGGTCTCTGGGGAGAGGCAAGGCAGGGTGGGAGGTAAAGTGAGGATGCAGGGAAGATTTGCCTCTGGAAGGAGAAATTATTGGGGTTTGCAAAAGAAAAGATTGAAGACAAGAGGAATGGGGGAGAATCAGCTCTTCAACAAACATTGAGTACCATCTGTATGCCGGGGACCAGTGTCCTTGCACCCTGGTTTCTTACTTCAAAGTCCCTTGCCTTCCCTTCCTGTCCCTCTACCCCACACAGTCCAAGGATAGCCGAAGAGAGGGACGGCATTTCTGCAAAATGCTTCCAGGGTGCAAAGCTAAATAAAGGAATATTCTAGGCAGAAAATACGGATTATTTTAAAAATCATTTATTAATCTGGAACGAGGAGTGTCATATGAACTGGCAAAGTATAAGACTCTTGGAGGGGAAGGCGCTAGAGCAGAGGTGTGGGGTGCTTGGTGAGCCGTGCATTCTGGTAGCTCCCCGGCGGGGTCATTCCCATGTCCTAAGTCCACACGGCATGAAGCGCCAGGATGGACCAGAAATTCATGTAATTCAGATAGGAGAAGAAACCTTGGGGAAGAAGAGTGCACAGGGGTGAGGCACAGAGTCCACTAGCCCGGACCCAGCCAGCATTCCCCGCACCGTCTAACCCAGCCCCAAGCCCTCACCCCTCCGCTCCCCTGAATCCAAGCTCGCCTGCCTTGCCTCCATTACCTCCAATCTACTTCCAAGTCCAAACCCAGCCCCATGCGCACCCCCAGCCCTGTCTCTCACTTCACACCTTCATCCTGCGTACCCCTGTCTGCACCCACACCCCCACGCCCAGTTCGATGTCACATAATTCCCGTCTATATCCCCGAAGCTATGCCCAAGCCCAACCCCTTCCCAGCCCGGACCGGTCATCAGGAACAGGAAGATGCCAATCCATGCCAAGTAGAAGCTGATCCCCAGTTTGTATGTCATGCCTTCTTGCAGGTATCTGTCGGCCTGCCACAGGTAGAACAGGACGCCCAGTGCGATGCTGGCCCCTGTATGAGCACAGATGTTAGGAGGCCGGGGCTCAGGTGTCTGAGGGACCCTGCTCAGAGCTGTGTGACTGCTAAGTTCTTGCTCATTATTTCCCCGCTCTCTTTAACCTCCCCAATCCCTTACCTCTGACAACACCATGACAGAACACACTGCAAGTGCAAGCCTTGGCCTTTCAAGGAGTAATGACATGTCTAAAACCATAGGCTCTGGGACTCGCAGACCGGGTCTCTCATCTTGTCTCTGCCCCTCACCCTAGGGAAGCCACAACATCTCTCTGCACCTCAGTCCCCTCATCTGTAGAGTGGGCATACTCGTAGGACCCGTCTCGTAGGGCCATCCTGTGGATGCACTGGAATCAGCACATTTCCCACACATGGCCCTCAGTAATTGAGACAGATCATCGTTATAATGAATCCTTAATATTCGGCTTCTGAAGCAGTGGACAAAGAACCCAGTCATTCTGGCTATTCTGAAATTACATGAATTAAAGACAGTTTATATAAAGGAAAATACTTTTCTTTCCTTTGCAGATTCTTCATCTTGTGTTACTGATAAATAATATAGGAGGTGCTTTCTGTTCATGTAAAACAGGGAATGGGCTTGAGTGAGTTCTTATAGAATGCCCTGGTTTAGATGGTCCTTTCTATCCTTTGTGTCTTGTATTTAAACAAATAGGAAGACCTGTTAGACCAGCTGGATAAATACCAGCTATTAACAAGGAAACACGAAATTGAGTGCTCTTTACCCTATCACTTTCCAAAATTGTTTTCCTGATGTAACTGAAAGTTATCAAGTACTACAAGGGACAGAAAGACAGTATCCCTTATTTCTAGATTAAAGTCCCCCCCTTTGCAATGTTAGCACGCAAATGCAAAACTAGGTTCTTTTTTTTTTTTTCAAAACTAGATTATTCTAATCAGTATATCAGTTTTGTGTTATTTGGGTGGGGGTAAGAGGATTGTCTTGGTAAGGATTTGTGCAAGATTTAGTAGCTAACATCAACGATTGACATCTTTCTCTTTTTTAAAAGGCAGGCTGTCTGCAGTTTTGGAAGTTTGGCTAACTCATGTTCTCCTTCACAAGGAGCCTGAGAGCTCTTCTGGAGGTCCTAGCAGGGGAAAGTACTACTCACGCATTTTGGACTGGAGAAAGATTCCCATCTGTGGGGGTGTGCAGTTTTAGGAGGGATACCCCAGACCAGTGAGGGAAGCAGGGGACATGCACCTTGCCAGCAAGATTAGCCATACCAACCTTGGTGATCAGTGGGTGGGTAGGTCTTGTAGCCAGACTACCCTCATGTCCGGCCACTGACATTTTCTTTCTGTCTTTTTTAGGACTGGTGATTGAACACAGGGCCTCCCTCATGACAGGCAAGTGTTCTTGCCCTGAGCTACATCCCCACTCCTTTTTATTTTTTATTTTGGGACCAGGTTTGGCAAAAATCACCCAGGCTGGCCTTGAACTTCTTATCCTCCTGCCTCAACCTCCTGAGTAGTTGGGATTAAAGACGTGTGTCACCACCCAGCCCAAGCACTGACATTTTCTCATTCATTCTTCAATACATCTCTACCTGGTAGGGAATTTTATCCCTATCCTATAGATGAGAAAACTGGCTCAGAAAGATGACGTAGCTTGCACAAAATTACCCGGCAGTTTCGGTGGAGGGACCGGATTGGGGAAGATACTGAGCAGAGGCTGTGTTGGGGGGATGGTAAGGGAGGAGGATGGGGTGGATAGGGGTAGGAGGAAGGACCTGGGGATGGGTTGGGTTGATTTTGAGAGTCAGGCTCACAGCTGATGGAGGTGGAGGTTGGGACTAAGGAGAAGAGGAGGCTGGAGATGGACAGGGGTTGAGTGTGAAGCTGAAATTCCCAGGCGATAGGGCTTTGTTTGGAAAGGAGAGAGAATGGGGAGCGGGTGGGCATGAGACGGACATCAGGGAAGGGGGCGTGGATGAGTTAGAGCTCTGTGGGCAATGGAGATGCGAGTTAAAGTTGAGGTTGGTATTGGGCCTGGAGGTGGGGCTGGGGTGGAGGCTGATGTCTTTTATTGGGGTGGGCTGGACACGGGGAAGGAGAGAGGACCGGGGCTGGGAGAGACGGCGAGGGTGGGGATGGGATGTGCTTCATGATGGGTCTCGGCTCCTGAGGAAAAAGTCTTAATGCTGTGCCTGTCATGATGCTGCCGATGAAGAGGACGAAGTCCAGCACGGGCAGGTTGGAACTGGTGAAGAAGAGGAGGAGGACTAGGGCCACACAGAGGCAGAAGCTGGTGATGCTGGAGAAGAAGAGGAAGGTCCAGGCGAGGTCCAGCAAGTCTGGAGAAGGAAGAGAACCGGGAACACCAAGACTGCATTTTCAGGCTCCGAGAATTGGGAAGAGGATCACCAGTGAGTCTGCGCATCTTCTCCAACCCCCTCCCATGACAATTATTCTCACGCTAAGAAAATTGAAACGGGGCTGTAAAGAAGGAGTGTTGATGCTGATCCCTCCAGCCTCCAGGACACACATCCGGGGCAGTGAGAAATAGGGTGGGTGGTGACCGTCACCCTCGAGCTCTGAGGACCATCCCAGAGGAAACCATTCCAGGACAGAACAGGTCCCTGGGACAAAGAGAGATGAATCCCACGAGTGGTGAGGACAGAACAGGCCTTACAAGCATACTGGTCATACTCCTTCAGGCAGGACATGTCAGAGCACCGCACAAAGAGGATGGTGTTGATGGGTATGGTTGGGGTGCCGGCAGGGTCCCCAGGGGGCCTCAGTGGCACCTGGAAGTGCACCCAGGGCTGGCCCAGACAGATGAGACCGATGATCACCAGGCCGACCAAGGTCAGCACGAGGCTCAGCTGGCGGCTGATCTTCCTGGCCTCATGCAGCAGCCGCCAGCATATGGGCAACCGTATCTGCCGGCTACTGCTTTTCTGAAACCTGCACGAGATCACACACCGTGTCAGCCCTGTGTCCACCCATCCCTTCCAACCACCCTCTCTACCCTGCATCCATCTACCATGCCCCTACGCTTTGTGAGTCTCCAGGTCTTACCTTCTGCTATCCCCCAGCCCCAGGCTAGCCTTGAGGTACAGCTTTCAAGCCCCCTCACACCTCCATTCTGATCCACCAGCCGTGTCCCTGGTCCCTGGCCTTTGATTGCTACCCCTCCCTCAGAATTCTAGCCCAGAGGTTGGCCTCCTGCCAGGCTCTCCACCTCTCACCTGCTAGAATTGATGCCGGTGGAGCTGCCTATCAAGAAGGTGGGCGTGCCGATAGGAATGCTCTGGTCGAGTTGGGAGCTGAGTCCATTTTCTTTGGGAGTCACCTGGGAGCTCCAGTTAACTGATTCAAGGCTATCAATACTGGCCGTGGGGCTCTGGGTGATGGATGGGGGGACATGGGCATGGGGCCAGGTTTGTTTGTTTGTGAGGCCAGGAGTCTGGGTTTTTGTCTGGCGGATGTTGGCTTGGCTGATTTGGGAAGCTGAATGGATATCCTTCACGGGAGGAGATTCTTGGACACTGAGCCGGTGACTGGGGACAGTTGGAGTTTTTTGGATACTGGGATGGCGACTCTGGAGAGTTGGAGATTTTGGGATACTGGGATGGCGACTCTGGAGAGTTGGAGATTTTGGGATACTGGGATGGCGA